TCTCGGGGCTGGAAAAACAGAAACAGCGGCAATATTCCAGCAAGGAGAGAGCTGCAGAGAGCTGAGTTTCGCAAAGGGCCAGTTTTCTCCTGAAGACACTTGGCACAATTTGAAGTTCAATGGGATGGGAGATGAAGAGATAGTACTACACTTTAAAAGGGTCCAGTAAATATGTACCGGTTTCCTATTACTGCTGTAACAAATTATCACCAACTTAGTAGTTTGCAGTTTGAAGGTCAGAAGTCTGAGATGGGTCTCCTTGGACCAAAATCAAGATGTCAGCAGGGCTATGTTCCTTTCCTACAGGAGAACCTATTTCTTACTTTTTCTGTTTCTTGGAGGTGGCCCCACCCTCTTCAATCCTCAAAGCCAGTCACGCAGAGTCTTTCTCACAGTGCGTCACCCAGGCACTATTCTGCCTCCTCCTTCTGCATTCAAGGAACCCTTGTGATTATATTGCTCACCTGGACAAGCAAGCAATACATTTATAAATAAACCACGAGTTGCATAACAAATCACAATGAAAACTAGAATATATTTCAAGCGGAATACCATGAAGTTATAATATATCAAGGAAAAGAATGCTTACAGGGAAATGTGCATATAGCCTTCATCACACATACTAGAGTAGAAGAGAGGCTGAAAAGTCAGTGTTCTTAGCTGCCTTTTTAAAAACCCTAGAGAAAGAACAAAACCCAAGGAAGGTCATCAAAGCAGGAACAAATGAAATAATAAATGAATGTAGGACAGAGAAAATCAACAAAGCCAAAAACTGGTTCTTTGGGAAGATTAATAAAATAAATAATACCTGGCAGTGCCAATCAAGGAAAAGGAGAAAACATAAATGACCAATATTAACAATGAGAAAAGAGATCCTCCACACATTAAAAATGGCAAAGGATCACATCACGAGCATTTTTATGACAAAATTTTAAATTTAGATAAAATGGACACATTTCCCACAAACCAAGCTTACCAACACTGAAACCTGAAGAATCAGAAAATCTGAATATTTCTCTAGCGATTTAAGAAACTTAATATGTTACTGAAAACCTTTACACAAATAAAACTCTAAACATAGGTGGCTTCACTGGTGAAACCTTATAAACATTTAAGAAAGAAACAGGCCGGGCTTGGTGGCTCAACTTGTAATCCCAGCAATTTGGGAGGCCAAGGCGAGTGAATTGCCTGAGTCTGCAGGTTCGAGACCAACCTGGGCATCTTGGCGAGACCTCATCTCTACCATAAATCAAAAATTAGCCGGGCATGGTAGTGTGCGCCTGTAGTTCCAGCCACTTGGAAGGCTGAGGTGGAAGGATCGTCGGAGCCCAGCAGGTCTACGCTGGGGTGGCCGTGAGTGTGCCACTGCACTCCAGCCTGGGCAACAGAGTAAGACTCCAACTCAAAAGAAAAAAAAAAGGAAAGAAATAATACTATTCTTATACAGTGTCATCCAGAGAGTAAGAAAAGAGGTGACTTTCTCAGTTCATTTTATAAGCCATCATAACCTTGAAATCAAACTTCTCGAGACATTAAAATAAACCTGCAGAATGATTTCTCTCATGAACATAAATGCAAAAAAAAAAAAAGCCTAAACAAAATATTATCAATTCAAGTTCAGCAATATATTAAAAATCTTATATTAAACAGCCAAGTGGGGTTTATTCCAGGAATATAATAGTAGTTTAACATGTAGAACGTAGTCAGGGGAGCTGGGTGTGGTGGGCAGTGCACATTTGTCGTCCCAGCTACTCCAGAGACTGCAGTGGAAAGATCGCCTAAGTCAGGAGTTAGAGGTTGTAGTGAACTGTGATCATGCCACAGCAGTCCAGTTTGGATGACAAAGCAAGACCCTTCTCTTTAAAAAAAAAAAAAAAGAAAAATGGCCAGGCTCGGTGGCTCAGTCTGTAATCCTGCGCTTTGGGAGGCTGAGGTAAGTGGATTGCCTGAGCCCGTGGGCAACTTGGCGAGACCTCATCTCTACAATTAAAAAAAAAAAAAAAAAAAAATCA